TTCGTACATGCTGGAAAGTCTTGACAACCTGTCGGCTTGTGTGTTCAGTGGTCCTGCAAAGTGGCGAGCACTCAAATTTATCCCCATCTCGTGAGCCTCCAACCAAATTTATGTCGCCAGATGTGTTAGATCGGGGAATGGCCCTCCGAGATGATTGATGTAGGCCACAGAAGTTATATTGCCGGATAGTATTTGTACGTTTTTGCCCTTCACAAGATGTTTGAAGGATTTTAGCGCACACATAACTGCCATTAGTTCGCGATAATTTATCAATGCAAACTTCATGGGCTTTGTCCAAAAGCCTGCTGCCTCGTAGGTTTGGAACCAGGTCCCCCAACCTGTTCCACTGGCGTCCGTATACACCTGTGCAGTTACTTGTCATGGGGCAACGATCAGACCATTTCATTTGCTTACTGCATCTCGCCACCACTCGAGGTCGGAGTAAGTCAAGTTGTTCATGATCAGTGTATCCTCCTAAGATTCCTTGGTTGCAAGAAGTCTGTATGCGTTTCTGAGGAGCAATTTTTTCAGGAAGGATGGCCTTGGTCATAGATACACACTGGCCCAGAATTCTTGCAAATACCCTGGCTTTTACTTTTTGTGCACTCAATACCTGCTGAAGATCTTTCTTTAATTTTCTGATTCGAGAATATGGAATTTTGATAACGGGGTAGGTTTTGGTTTGAGTTGAAATCACATAGCCTATGTATTGAACACTTTGTGACGGAACTAACACAGATTTTTCTCGTTTATGTGCCATCCCAAGGAGCTTAAAGTGTCCAGCAGTATGCCCTTGTACATGTAGTTATCAATTTCTGTATCATTTCCAAAAAGGATGAAATAAGCCACATAAAGGCCAAGTCGTAACCCAAGTTGTCTCAAATGTGCTACAAATGGTCTAAATACTTTACAGAAAAATATGGTGAAGCACTAAGACCAAAGGAAAGACACTTCCACACATAATACTTGTTCTTCCGTGAGAAACTTGCATGTATTTACGTGTGGTGATCGGGTAAGATTGGTACATGGTAAAACCCATTTTTAATGTCAACCGTGATTGCATAGTCATTAGACTGCACTAAATCAACAACTGCCTCAATACTTTCATTAACAAACTCAGAAGGATTACAAAACCCATTCAATATCCTGAGGTCATGAATTATTCTGTAGGATCCAGATTTCTTTGGTACACAACCAATGGGGAGACACAGTGCGGCTTACAGCTAACCGCCACAATAACACCAACACGCAAAAGTTCACATACATGTATCTCGTTGGAAACGAATATCTGTTGCTTCGGTGTGATACTGTGAATGGGTAAATTTAGGTCTGGAGGTGACCCAGACAACGGCAATGGCACGCCATCTGACATCCAAGAAATTACAGTGTCCAAAAGCACCAATATCCCTCCGTGAGATGTGACTTGACAAGGTTGTGGAGAAACACTTGAAAAAATGTAGTGTTGCATGGGCACAGCAAGAAAACAGTTTGAGCAAGGGCACACCAAATGGACAATCCTAAATTACAACTCAATGAAGAGTTCCAATGTTCATAGTTGGGCTGTTGGCAGCATCTGTGTGATCATGATAGTCCACATTTCTGTAATGTCCCCTGCCTCCAAAATTCCTGCCAGAGAAGGAGCGATAGCGATCACCACTTGAGAAGGAGCGGTACCTGTCACCACGTCCAGGAGAGTTTGAAGTACGCCAACCATACGGACCTTGGGTCCTAGAGTTGTTACCACGGTTGCCTGTGTTTGCCTGTGCACTGGCGAGTTGTGCTGCACTTTTCAGTGTCTTTATGCTGTCACTGGAAAATGCTCTGGTGTTTTTCTGCAATGTGAGATAAATCTTAGCGGTGTTGTCATCAAACTGACCTTTAACAAGGATTGTCTGATAATCCTCCTGAAGGAACCGCATGTGTGCAATTTGGATGGCAAAGAGTGCAGCCCAATCAGTATTTTCTTTGGAAAAGACAGTCAATAGTTTCAGCGTTGTCTCCACATAGTGGGCTGATTTGACAAGTGAATTGCACCAAGACTGGTCTAGTCGCTTGACACCAGTCTTAGTATCGTTCAGTTTGAAGTCGCTCGGCAACTTAATCTTCTGCAGAGAGTCCTTAATGGAGTGAAAATCTGCCTGTATGTCCTCAGATGTGGTCCAACTAGTACTACTGGAACCAGGGCTGAGGGGCACTTTTACATCTGCATGGGCACCGCCATCTTGGACCGTGTTGTTCAGAGGTTGTGTACTGTCTTGCACTTTTGCAGGCTGTTCCTCGTTCTCAGCACGCTGTTGTTCCAAGTTGGTTACCCAATGGATAATCTTGGACTGGCTTACACTTAAGCTATTCAATATTTCGACAGTATCATCCAGCTTTTCAGTCACTATTTCCTCAAACTCGAGCGGCATTTTTGCCTTTAATCTGTCGGCGGAGATGCACCAAACAAGACAACTATAATGACAGTGCCCTCTTTTGGGCACTGACAGGAAAGTTTTATGTACATGTATAAATTGATTTCCCCTGACTGCAGTCAAATCGGACAACCTTCAATAACCTTTAGTGCAGTTATTTTCAGAAAAACCCGACATTTACAGCTAGAGGAAATAATGACTACAGAAATAAATACCTGTATAAGCCTATGGTGGAATTATAATAAAACCTACTGTAGGAGAAACAAAACCAAAATGAATTCAACGATAATAATCCCAAATTGGTCAGAAACATCTGGATAGCACAGTGTTTAAAAAAAAAATCACAGTAGAAAGTAATGTTTTTAATACCTACATTTCGCAGAAAGCATTTGGCCACTATACTTTGGAAGGCCAGTGAAGTTCTACAATAAAACTTTTTCCTCCCCATTATTAAATATATTTTCCAACCCGTATCATTCTCTCAAAGTGCATAGGAAAATTACGTCAATGTAAATTCAATAAAATGTGAGAAAGTGGTTTTCGACAGCATCTAAGCAAAAGAAACTTAGGACTTCAAGAAAAAAAGAGGGCTACCGACAAAGTATGAGTGGACGCTAAAGAAGTCAGAAGAATGTTTGAGAAGCCCGCATGATCTGTCCAGAAATGCCTGTGGTTTTATGAACCAAGATCTCCCAACATATTGGCCACAAAGATCAGAGCAGCGGTTAGTCCGGGAACTTCACGTAGTCACTAGTTCGCTGACTCAGCGGACCTGGAAACGTAGCATAACAAAGCCCACTGTTAGACAATGCAAATAAGCTACGCAGAGTTTGCGGAGGGTAAATTTTGACAAGAACCCTTAACGTTACTATTCACGAACCATCCACATTCTTGATGCCAGAACCTTCAGGGGAAAGATGATGTCTTTCTAGTAGCTTATTCTTGTCGCCTATCCCACTTCTGACACCATTTGTGGCGGTTGCGCTGACAGTGACTCCAAGTTGTCCTCGGCCGATGTCAGTGAGCGGTCTAGTCTAAGGCCAGTCGAAAGAGCAGGCTGGTTTTGGGGCAGTCTACCACCAGGTATACGTGTACAGGGCACTAACTGTCACAAACACACTCACACACACTCGAGAGAAAGGGGAGCTCGTAATAAAAGGGATCAGGGACTCAAGAACTGGAGGTTTTGCTGTGTGTTTATGAGGCGCTGACCTAACAAGGTGCATCCTAATTAGGTGATGTGACCTGTACCCAGGTATTATGATTCTTCTCTGGATGAACTAACTTCACGACCAGTCGCAATCAGTTTTCCTACTGTAATTTACAGTTGTCCAATCCAATTTCCACTCCCTGGAATCTAACCCCAGGCTTCTCCCAACAGAGACCAACCAAGCTTTCTCACAAATCTGTGAGTGGGAACTTCCTAGCATCAATGGCACCACAGAGCGCCCACAGAACAGCGCTTGTCCTAGTGCACAAGTGGGGTATCAGAATGTAAGAGCAAGCACAAGGGAAGAGTGCGACCGCAAGTGCGATGCACGCTAATATACCAGTGCCAGGTACCAACTGACCACACAATTGCTGTACAATGCGCAAGGCCTGTGGAGTTTCTGGCACACTATTGACTGTTCCGTTACAAAAGCATTCAGAGGAAAGCCGATAGGGTGTTTTCATCATTGGCAGGTCGTGTGTATGAACAATTAAACAAGCCCAATGCCTGTGTAAACAATGAACACCAATACTTTCACTAGCATTTGATTGGCAATTTAAGATATTATCTAATATAATTGATTTTATATTGAGTTTTGAAAAATTAAAGATCTTTTCGTAATAGCATCTGGTCTGCCATCAGCCTGAGGTTTTGCAGATGCATTATAATCTTAAATGTCATTGTATCTACCAATTTCCAAGTCATTTCAAAGTTTTTTGTGACATCATGAGTACGTGATTTGGAGAATTCTATGTAACTTCAGACTATCATCATGGAAACCATTACATACATCACTGAAAACAGTTTATATCCTTCACCAATTTCAAATAACAAGGTACTTCTGGTTTTGACTGAAAGCAAGGGTCATGTGACTTTATGTAGAGGAGATAAATTGCAGACCCACATTTTCTATCACTTTTCACAAAAAAGCAAGTTGGGGGAACTCATCGTTGATTTTATATGGATAACTAAAGAAGGGTCCAATTTTACCCACATGTAATTTGACACCTGATGACGTCATCACGAGACAATTTTCTAGGCTTAGAAGCTGTCATAATTGGCCTTCAGCCAGGGTTATCAGTTTGCAAAGCCCAGCTAGTCTCAAACTTGTTTCAGACCGGCTCAATGCATATTTCTTCTTTTTTATTTAAATAAGTACCCCACAATGATAAAGAAGGCATGGTCTCAAATGGGTTAATTACCATATAGAAAAGCAGAACTAAAACAAATTCCATGACACTGAGGAATTGCTGTCTCATTGTGATTGTTTAGTAAAGCATATAATTCACCTTGCTGTAAAAGTGCTAAACTTTAGTCTGTTGATATATACATGAAGCACCCTTAAGAGATATTGCATTTTTTTACTTTCAAAATAGGACGATGAATGGAATGTGGTCTCCAGAAAGCAGAGCTAGAATCCCAGTTGAGTTCTCCAAAGTCTTTGATATTCCAGATAATGATAAAACTGCTGTTTTAGGTGAGTAATTTAAATGGATAGACGGAGCTATAGAGTGAATTAAAAATGACCTTTTGTGAGCCTCAAAGTGTTCAGTTTTCACTTTGATCATAGCTGGTGATTTTGTGAACTACCTTGCTGACCAGTCTTGGAATAAAGTTAAAAGTTTGCTGAAAGGACTTCAAGGCCAAGACAAATACCAGCCAAAAAAGTTTGAAACTGGTCTTCAGACCTTTAAAACTACATTTTAGATCAGGTGTCGATTATATAGACCAAGTGCACCTTTCAACCAGTGGTTATTTCTTTCTTATGCATCATGATTCACTGTGTGACAGAGAGCCAGTAGTTATAGTACAGAAAACTCTGAACTCAAAACCTTTGGGAATGGGTACAAATTTTTAAAGTACCTTGATTCATTTTTCAAGAATCATGTCTCGTCTACAAATACATATATTTTATTTCCGCCATAAGCCACTCTTCCTGGCTGTACAAATGAACTGATTGATCTTGGTACTGATTCTTGTGGTGCATTTTTTTCTGGTCAAAATATCATTCTAGCAATATTGTATACTGTCTTTACCTGACGGTATCTGCTGTTTCAATAAACACAATATTATGATGAGGCACGAACTGTATGTTTATTAATAGAACACCAACTGTTCGATATGGGTAAAAGATGACACTGAATCACCCACAGTTTGCATATATTGGGATGCTGATTGCTGATTGGTCCATGGGACTTGCGTTCTGTTGTATGTTGTATAGACAAAGAGCAATTGTGCATAGCCAGGGGAGGGGGCTCAAACTGTATAAAAGGTGCTGTAGGGTTACGTTTTAGGCAGATCATGTTCAATTCTTTTGTGATTAGACCAATTGCATGTGTTCTTGATTTGAATAGCATGGCTATTGATGAAGATTGATTAACCCCTTTGTAACGGATGACTGCTAGTGCAGCAGCTTTGTGTGAGGATTAGTGCATACCACACATATATTCTGTTCACCATGCAGCTGCTGGTTCAATGGGGCCTGCTGCTGGACAGAGCTTTGCATACTGGGCATACCACAGCCCAGAAGGAGCGGTCAAAAGAATCCCGCTGTGAAGGGTTAAAGGCATGACCACTGTTCCTGATTTTGCCTTATTTTAGTATGATGGAGTGCATTTATCCCTAAGGGGTAACAGTATCTTTACTTCCATTTTGAGGCAGTTTATTTTGTCCTATATTGCCCCCTGATTTTGCGGTTTATTCTTACCTGGCCTGGCTGTCTGCCTCCTAGCCTGGTGGGTACACGTTGCGCGGATGGCATTTTTTTGGATACAGACAGCCAGGGACTGAACTTCTCATATTTATGGGGCAAATAATCCAGTTATATTCTCTTGGTCTCCTGTGTTCACGTACCCCTGCCCAGCTTACATACGCAAAGTTCCCATGTGCCTATTACAATTCGCTGAAAAGACTTGATTATGCATTCTGCCCCTTGACCCTCCACAATGCACTGCAATCTTGCCGCCATGTTTGTCTCTCTTTCCTCCGCACCTATCATTAATGGACGTGTCTGTACAGCATTTTCAGAGTTCTGTGTTCTGTAACCTTTCGCGTTTGTGAATTGACTTGATTGCTGTTTTCTTTTGTAAGAGCGTTTTCTTTTGGTAAGAGTGCTTATTTTCGTATTTTGCATTTTTTGGTTGTTCTTTTCTGTCCCTTTTTTCTGTGCATTTTCTTTAGGTTTGGATGCGACATACCATTGTAGTGTGTCATGTATAGCCGTTGAATGGGGCTTACAGGCAGCCGTTTGTTCTCAGTATGGTGCGTGCATTCGAATAATAACGGCCAAACGCTGTATGGGTGGAGTGGGGCATGGCAGGCTGCCCCACTCCTTTGTTGTGCGGTTTTACGCTATCCGAGATTAACGGCCGTGACAGGGAGACGCCCAGTGGAGTGAATAGGCCGGGGTTGAGTATGCTATGCCACAACACTACTCCGGACCTTTATCTACATAATCAGGTTGAGCGAGCTACGCTGCAACGCTATCATTGATCACTGATGACCACTACTGGAACTGATCGGGTTGAGTGTGCTATGCCACAACACTACCCTTGGTCACTGATGACTGATCCATACACCTACCGACTGTGCTGAGCGTACTGTGCCGCAATACTACCCTTGGTCATCGGTGCCCACTCCACATGTCTACAGATAGGGTTAAGTAGGCCATGCTATGCCACAACACTGGATTGATCAGGTTGAGTGTGTAACGACCGCAACACTGCATTTAATCCCTGACGGCCACTCTGTATACCTACTGATCGGGTTGAGCGTGCTGTACTGCAACACTACCCTTGATCACGGTTGACCAGAGCGTAGCGAGCTGTTCCTCTTTCTTTATGCTGCAGATGTTGCTACCCACCACATCCCCGAGTGACCCTGCCTACCGATGGCCAAGCAGGGCTCGCGGGGTGACGTCCTGCCGCTTGCCAGGTCCCTTATTGGCTTCTGCTTGCTGTGCTTCCCCACTCGGAAATCAGGGCAGTCTACCCCCTCCAAGCGGACAATAGGCTCCACAGCGGGTTTGCTGCACTCCACTCCTTCCGCCACGGGTGAGTCTATAGCACGGTGCACAACCTCGCGTTACACGGACAGGACTGGTCCCTGTTCAGCTAAGGTTAGCTACGCCACACTTCAGGCACTGGGCTAGAGCTCAGATCCCTGTCACCACCATCACATTCAACGTTAGTGCAGAGTGGCGCTGCACTCAAGGCGATTAAGCGTACTCTCCTGCTAACTGGGTCTGGGCCCGTGCTCTGAAGTCCTTTGGCAGTCTCCCTACTACTAGTGCCTACCGTGGAAGATGTCTATTCATCTGTATGGTTCACTAGGCTACACACTGGGATGGCCCCACGCCTCCCGGACCAGCTACAGCGACTGCCACATGCCATGAACTACAGCCATCAGACGAACTCCAAAGCGGTTCACCAAGACATGACTTGGATGTTACAATGCCTTGGACTGACACCCCATTGTCCTCAGGGCGGCCCATTCAGAGGCACCACTGACCACATTTCGGACTACAGAACCCATAGGCCTGCTGCATTGCCGTAGTTTTCGAATGCCATTCATCGCCACAGCTTCTGGCTTCCAGTTAGGGCTATCCAACCAGGGTGCTTAAAAACAAGATACGATCAGCCTACGGTGTGCGTTTTATCCTCTCCACCTTTTTTTTGTTCATTAATGCCTGTGGTAGATGTCAACACCCTACCCTCAGACCCAATGCCCCATCGAGTCCTCCAACGTCTGAAACTTTGTCCCCAAGGACACTCAGGTGCAATAACAATCAACCACAATCTCTGGACAGGCTCCCCTCTATCTCTGAGTGGTGATCCCGTGCATAGAATGATATGGCTGAAGTCCTCTAACTCAAGGATACAAACGGCCACTTCGAACATAGTACAATGTCACAAGGGTCATTATTCATTTCTTAGCGAATGCTTCCGCCTCTTTTTGCATATGGGCCGGCCTTACTTTCGTCCCAAGTGCAGATTTGACTGTGAGAAAAGATGCATTGCTATACGAATGGGGAGCCTCTTTTTCTCTACTCCGTGCCTCAAGGGTGTAGAATACTGCCTCTCAAGGCAAACATATGAGCGTGTTAAAACTCAAGCAGTATTCAGTGCTCTTTGTCACTTCCAACAGCACTTTTTAGGAGTCATCTCAAATCTTGTCCGGGAAAAGTTGAGGGTAAACTACGGAAGAGTGTTGCGGTGGAATGTTGAAGGCTTTTGAAAAACTTTCCCACAATCTCCCCGGAATGAAGCCATCAGTGTTTGTATACACATCCCCCCTCTGTGGATTTGGCCAGGCAGGCCACTCAAGGGCACCTGTGGTTTTGATGACGAAAGAATTGGAGGCAAAGGACTGCACTCCTTACACAGAGCTTTTTGGAACTTCTATAACTCTGTCATTTGGAATAAATATACAGTCGAACATGAGCACGCTTGAGATGAGATCGTGCTTAGGGCCGGCGACCATTTAGACCCGGTTTGAAAAGGGCCCCCCCCCCGGTAATCTCGCCTTGTTGCAAAAACCCCTTTCATACCGGCCTGGCTACCGGCCTGGGATGCTGGACTGGTTGTTGATCTCAAACTTCTCCATCCTGGGGTCTATTGTTTGCAAGTACTGGTACATGTAATCTATCCCAGAAGGAACCTGCTTGTCGTTTTTAATCCTTCAGCTCTATACAATGTTTATGTAACGGGGAAAAATGGCAC